AATTTCTGCTTGAACGAGCTTTTGCAACCAATTTACAGTACAAAACAAATTTCTGGCTTAATGCTTAGCCACTGGCTTAATGCAACGGGTGTAATGCTGAAGATAATTTTTGAGAACAGACCATAATTTAGGTAGATGGAGGGAAATTGAAGAAAGCGTTCTTAAACGTTTACAACTGACTGCGATCTAGCGAGATTGACAGAGTTATATTGAGTCGCTACATTTCTTGTCTTTAGTGTTTGAAAATTTGCATCCTTATATGCATTACTACTAATGCTTCAAAAATCGAACTCTCTTTTTATTCGGAACCCCTTTCATCATTGTTTTCAATGAACATGTTGTTCCAGGGCGAAAAATAACACTAGCGATTTGTTGCTTTACTAGGCACGTATTTGATGACGGATACAAGTTATTAAGCCCACTTATATATATCCTCTCAAATTTCATCTCTTAATTTGTTGAATAACGAACGGGTTCTTCGCCTCTTTCGTCCTTCTTGAAACAATCGCCTAGTGCATACAATGCCTGAGCGGCTACATGAGATCGGGCGAAATCTCCGAATGCTTCGGACGCCATTATTACAGCCCATCCTGCCATCGTTGCACTCGTTGCAGCCCTAAATTGCTTCTCATAATGAACTTCTTTATAAGGTGCACTCATACACTACGGCATCTACTGCTTCGATGTGTCCCAAATATATCATTAGTGCACCGAATCCATATGTAGTCACTGCCGAAAAGTAGATATAACTCTGTGTAAGAGCAAACTGCACTGCTTTGTAAATGGCAGTCTAAACAAATTTTCTTTAAAGAACACTTTTTTGTAAGGATCATAAGTAGATAATATTACCCTTTTTTCCTGTTTCTTCACAGCGTTTTGGGCATTTTCGAATTTTTTCACAAAGTAATCCTCTGCCGTTAGTAACTGAATTGTTTGTGCATGTTCAAACACTTCAATTGAAAGCTGAAAAGATTAAATTCTGGCTATTCCAGGAATTTGTCAATTCGAAAAACAACCTCGGTCGTCTTGTCCATCTCCGATTTCCTTGCTATATTTTTTGAAACTATACTTGCAGCCACCCATAAACCGATTATGACCAGTATAATCATTATAAAGTTTGCTATGCCACTTGGCCAACAAGCCACGAATGTAAGTGCAACACAGGCAACAAGGGCAACGAGATTGTTTAGCATTAGCATGAAGCGATAATCAAGGCACTAAAAATTTTAACAGTTCAGAATTGATATGTTGGAGCATATGTAAGTATTACTCGTAATTTTGGATGTTAATACTTCAACTGTTAGTAAAAAGTACAAAAAAAAGCCCATACCAAACTATTGAAGACTTGCTAATTTGATAATCTTTGACTGAAATGAAATACTTATTATTAAATTTGATTAGACTGCTTATGTACAAAAATTTAAACCACTACGAATAGTAATACAAACATGTTTAGGACTACTGAATATTTTTTTAAAATCTATTCCTCATAAATATAGAATTCTTATCAACTTACAGCTTGTATATCTTGAGCCTTAGAGGCTAATTCAGCTACACATGCAGCATTGCTTCTATCCGGTTTATCAAAAAAATCTGCATCCTGACTCAGAAGGCTCCTCATTACAGCAACGCACATATCCGTTGTGACTACTTCTCCGGTCCAACCTCCAAAAGCTATCTGGAAAAAAACATATCTATACAACTTTTAGAAATGAGCCAAAGAATTGTTTACAGAGCTGCCCATGAATATCCACGAGTAAAATCCGAGAGCGATAAGTACTGCAACAGCTACCCACATAATTGGAACATAAGTTTCCTGTATTTATTTCGAAAATTTTCATAACTTTATATAACTGAAGTGATCTCAAAATTACCTTGGTTTGATCCAATGCGCGATATGTGAAGCCAGTAAAGAATGAGGCAAGCGGCATTTCAAAGCCTCTCAAGATTCCTGTCACCAGGCAAATCCAGAATACAGGACGTTTAACGCTTGATACATATACTCGTAATATTCCTCCGCCTCGACTTTTCTTGAAAAAGAAAACATTATTGTAATTATAACCCTTATTGACTTACAGTGTGACAAACAATTTATAGTTGATCAGCACCCTTATGTCTTTTCTCGACACTAAGGTACGTAAAGTTTCAAAAAGCTTCCATTCTAATTTTGTCCACATATTGCGATCAACGGACCTCATTATTCAGTATCTCTTTTGTAGCTTCTATTTGTTGTGCAGCCAGTGATGTGTGCGATCGTCTTGACAGAGCGCTTGTTCTTAATTCGTGTCGCGTAAGAGAATCGACGCTAAATTTATAGAAACGATAAATAAGATGCAAGCGAAGCTTCTTAAACTTTTTCAAGAAAAAAACTCAGTGAATGCGACATAAGAGTACCGAGTAGGTTCCACAGTAACAACTTTGGCAGCTGGTCCTTTCTCATTAACATCAATACCAACTTCTTGAGCCTTTGCAAGTTTGCTGTAGAGGCCACCCTTTTGGAGTAACTCAAAGTGTGTCCCTAAAAAACATCTTTAATTAATATTTGAAAGTTTAGGGTTTTGAACCTGTAAATAATGACAGGACTGATTACTAGAAATGATGTTGTTTACAACGATTAAAATTGCATAAAAGGTCTCAAAGGTGCAGAAGGAAGTCAATAGTTGTGGAAAACGTCCAAGTCTTTGCCATTCGGCGTCGAAGAAGGAAAGGAGACACTTAAAACTTTCACGGTTTTTTTTCAATTATATACATGCCTAGGCACGAGGTCTCCGGTTGAACTTTACAAGAACGATTACCCACTTGAAAATCCAGGAAATTATGAAGCCCCCTTTGTTACCTGTACAAACGCGTGCAAGCAAGACAGAAACAACAGCGCTGTTTGTTTAGAGCGCGTTTTCTTCACTAAGGTAAAATGCCCTAATAAGGAAGAGGAGAAGTGCTTTAATCTGGTTACTGCGCTATAATAGGTCAAGAGGTGCACAAAAAGTGTTTGCTAATCGGAGACCTGAGGTCTCCCGTAGGTCTCCGCTGGAGAGGATTACAAAGCCAATTTTGGTGGCTATTCATTGCCCTCGCTTTTCAAAAAATGTTTACATG